CCGAGATCTCCCGAGCCCCAGCTGCTGCAATGACAAGAACTGAGTCACAAGCCTACTTGTGGACTAACTGTGGGCAGAGGGGAAAGCACTGCTTTTAAAGCCAATCCCAACTTATCCCCGCTTTTTTGGCAAAAATAAAGGGAAACTTCTGGGTATGTAAGCAACACTGTGCCTGATCTCCTGCTACGTTAAATGAACCACACCAAAGCACTGTTCTCCTCAGAACCATCGAGCTTCTTCAGGATTTATCTTTTTCTCCCTACGTTTTATCATTAAGTCTTTTCTTTCAGAATTTTTTTCTGCTTAAAATTGCCTTTTGAAACATTTACTTTCTCAACAGTAGGTTCCTTTCATTAACTTGTTTACATACTCAATTTCCACATTCTATTTTTTTCTTTTCAAAAGCACTGAGCCAGATCACATTTTCAAAAGAACAAGTTTATTTTTCCTCTTCCTTTCCACTCTTCATTCATACTTCTGTTTCTCAACTGTATTAGGAGCTTCAGAGGACAAGAAAACATCATCTATTTTTCTTTATAACTGCCAGAAGCATTTCATAGGTGCTGAAAGTACTTGCTGTGTCTTTCCCTTTATGGTTCATCAGAGACATGCAGGCTTTAATATGAATCAGGGTTTTATAGCCAATAAGTATTACAAAGTCCTCTTCTCACTTGTTTATACTAAATTCTTTGCATATTTGCTTCTTTCTGGCGTCAGAAAGTCCCAGAACACAGTGTGTTTCCCACTTCATTCCACCTTTTCCAACATCTTTCACAGAAGAAAAGAAAGGATTTGGGTTTCCATGGTAACTAAGTGTGACAATTGAAGGTATCTGGATATAGGTGAGACAACTCCCTTTCAGATCCAGTGGGGAGAGGAGAAATGAAGTTTTTCTTTCTTTTTTTCTTTCTTCCAGCAGTGCACTTTTGAAACTAAAGGGACCTGCAGTGTCAGTGTATGGTGTTAAGTTTTCACCACCATACAGATTTACAGCTCTTGGGGAAAATTCAATTTCATTTTATCTCATTTTTGTTTTATCTTTCCCACAAATGCATAAAGACATAAGTTTTTATTTCTAAAATCACTCTCAGGATAGTGTATGCTGGCATAGGAATGAACATTATTAAGGGATCAGGAAATAGACACCCATCTCCACCCAAATCTTCAAAACTCTCTACACGTCCTGACATTCTTTTTATAGCAGCTAATCTTTCGACCAACATTCCACATACAGCCACAAATCAGTAAGTACCATCATCCTAGACAGAATAGGTGAGAAAATATGATCCTACCTGTCATGTTTCTTTTGCCTTTGGGGGGTCTCATTACCTTTATGGCACTGAGAATGAAAACTGAGGCCCATCAACATGAGGAACATAAATGAGCTGCAACTACCCTATGGGCTGCAGTTTCTACATTTCTCCTTATCAAAAAAGTCAGCATTGATGAAAGGTCAGGGAAAATAGCCTGAGAAATGTCAAAAAGCTCTCCTACTCTCTATTATGCTAAGTGGAATGACTAAGGAGCCCACTCAACTATTTCTTTTTTCTTTTATTTTTGGCAGCTGGCCAGTATAGGAATTCTAACCCTTGACTTTGGTGTTATAACCTACTCACTATTTTTGTGACAATTTCTATCAGATGCACTCCAATCCAAACCTTCCAACTTCTGGGGACCTAGAAGTAATGAAAAGAGTTGCTTGAGGTTACATTCTAGACCCACAATCCCAATACAAATACCTCAAAAAAAAGGCACTGGACCTTTATTCTTTGCAAAGTAGATGGAGTTTAAGCTCCGCTGTAATGCAAGGTACTACAGATGCTCCTCACTTATGATGGAGTTAGGTCCTGACAAACCCACTTAAGCTGAAAACATTGCTAAGTTAAAAATGCATTTAATATACCTACCTTATAGAACATCATAGCTTAGACTAGTCTACCTTAAATGTGCTCAGAACACTTACATTAGCCCCCATTTGGGCAAAATCAGCAAAAAGGCTATTTTATAATAAAGTGTTGAGTATCTCACAGAATTTATTGAATATTGTCCTGAAGTACAGTTTCTACTGAAAGTGTACTGCTTTCGCACCATCCTAAAGTCGAAAAATCGTAAGTTGAACCACTGTAAGTTGAGAACTGCCTGTAGATGCGTTGTCATGAAATATACAAAGAAAGAACGTTTGATGTTTCTTAGCTCTATTTAACCCCAAACAAGCCTAGGAACTTCTTATCACCAAGATGTACAATTTGGGTCTTAAAGGAGACAATCTGCCTTTCCTCAGAAAAGAACCGTAGCTGCCACTAAGCTAAAGTAACCAGAAATAAGCATACTAGTTTTACACAAAATATGAGACTTCTAAAAAGCTGGGTGAGAAAAAAAGAAAAGAAAAAAAAAAACGAAAATAAATAAGAAAATAAATAAATAAAATGCTAGGTGAACTGTATTATAACATCTTCTTGAAACATTCCTGCCAAAGTGCTTAGATATGAAGCATCCATGTGAGCTCTCTCAAGTTTATTCACTTTTTTACATTACTAGCTTAGGATGAAATATCAGATCCTCTTCGGTTTCTTTTAGGAGAATTGAAACTTACCTGATTCTTAGTTCTTTTTACAATCTGCCTTCACTACTGATTCTGGTGGTTCAGATATAACCTCTTATTTTGATGATATTGAATCAAGAAATAATGAGTTACATTTTATTACACATTTTAAATTTGACAGGATACTGCCCTCATTTTAAAGGAAAACTTGGTGTGTGTTATACTATTGCCAGGTAATGCAAATATAAGTTATCCATTCTAACATTACGGAGTGACAGGGCAGTAGGACACTGCTAAATCTGAGTACCTCTTTGTAACAGTTTGATAATAGACAAAACGGTCAAATAACACCTGGTTTTTGGAGGAACTCAGAATAAAATACTTTCAACATGATGACCTTGTGAGAAAGTGGGACCGTGGGACAAGACGGTCAAATAACACCTGGTTTTTAGAGAAACTCAGAATAAAATACTTTCAACATGATGACCTTGTGAGAAAGTGGGACCGTGGAGAGGGATGCCATGATCTAACATTAGAACTTCAGAAATTTGTTCAAGAAATGCGAAATAGCAATGGACAGTTGCAGACTAACTCGAGAAGGACATAGTTTAAAGAAGGTAAATCCAATAACCAGTTATTACAAAAAATAACCCAAGAATGTTTGGGGTTGTAACGTCTCCTAAATTTGACGTTATGGGCAGGGGAGGGTGTGTAACTTAGATCTAATGCTGGCGACAGGACGCTAAGTTTTAAACTGAGTAATAAAAGAAAAAAAAATGTTTTAGCAGGTACGCATGGAGGACCAAGGCAACCGCTGCACGACGTCTCCTTAAGGACCAGAATATTTCTCACCCTAAAGACAAAAGTCCCCTTTTTCTCGATTCAGCCCACGATCCAGCCCACATCCCTCAGCACCATTTCTATGCCCATCATTTAGGCAGAACGCCAGGCAGTCGACGTTAAAAGCTGAATCCATCACTCTCGCCTTGCAACGCATCTTGTTCCTCTGCCAGAACAGTACACAAGGACCGGCCCTTCAACCTGCCCCTCCCAAACCCCACCAACCGGGGCTCTGTCTCCATACTGCCGGCCCTTGGTGGCAAGGGAATCGCGAGTTCTGGTTGGCTCAGCCGGAGCCTCCGTCGTTCTTCAGCTCACCTACGATTGTGTGGCAGAGCGTGCGCCAGGAGCAAACGCCCAGCCTGGGAGGTGGGTTGGCTCATTTTGCGACTAGAGTACTTCCCGATTGGTTAAAGGGGCGTCACGTGCTGTGAGACGGCTCTCTATTGGCCGTGAGGCCCAGAGACGTGATGTGGTTGGCTAGAATGAATCCCAGCTTCCTAGTAGACACCCCTAGCGGGCTGTTGCTGAGTTGTCCCTGGGCCTTCCGCTTGCCGCTCGGGAATCCTCTCTCCAGGTTTTCCAGGCGCCGGTGGCTGACAGGGCGTGGGAAGCGCTCTGCTTCAGTCAGGCACTGGAGGGGCGGGGCTAGAGGGAAGTGGGCGTGGACCCGGCTTCCGTGGTGTCTGGTGCCCGCCGATGAGCACTCTCGGGCGCGCCGCTGGAGGTGCCTGTCACCCCCTCCCCCTCAGGGTCCTGACGGTTCGAGTCAAGCTTCATTTCGTTGTGTTTTTACAACCTGAGGCAGAAGCCTGGAGGTGCTCGGCCCCTTAAACAAACTTCACATCGTTATGTTTATACCTAAAACCAAAGCTCTCCAGAATGCTGATAGACTGGGAGGTGTCGGGTAAAGTCCCCCACGCCAAGGGCTCCTCTTGGATCTTGCCCATCTCTTCCTCTCACTCCCGCCTCATGTTAAAGTCTGGAGGCTGCTCTGGTCCCGCCACATCATCTCCGCCAGATTCTGAGCGTGACTGTCGGGTGGAGTATGCTCCCGCCTTCGGCGGGTCCTGCGCGTGCTCAGTACGCAGGTCCTGGGGTTCGACGGGGCATGCGGCGTGAGGTGTTCCTGGGCGGCCGCTGTGCTTGTTTATCTAAGCGCGGGCAGAAGCTTCCGCGCGGCGCAAGCCTCCCGGGAGCGCGCGCGGCCGGTTGCCTAGGTGACGGGAGCGGGGGCGGAGCTGCGCCGCGGGCCCGCCCCAGGCCGCCA